GGTTATCCAACCTCTTTCTAAAAACTTCCAGTGTTGGAGCATTCACAACTTCTGGAAGCAACGTCTGTTGTTCCACTGGGTAATTTTCCTCAATGTTAGGAAATTTCTCCTTAGTTCTAAGTTGCTTCTCTCCTTGATTAGTTTCCACCCATTGCTTCTTGTTCTACCCTCAGGTGCTTTGGAGAATAGCTTGACTCCCTCTTCTTTGCGGCAGCCCCTGAGATATTGGAAGACTGCTATCATGTCTCCCCAGTCCTTCTTTCTATTAAACTAGACATACCCAGTTCCTGCAACCGTTCTTCATATGTTTATTTCCTCCCTTTTTAATTGAAATGTGTTGAGCGGTTGCTCCGTTTTAGCCCCACTTTCCCCGGTGCCCTTTCACTGCTCCACAAATTGATCCGGATCATTCCCCATGTCTACCCCTCTTTCCCCGAAAATAAAACCTCCCCGGATAATAAACCCAGTCGGGGTTTTGAGTGCATGCGCTAAAATAAGCCCTCCCTGAAAATATTGCAGCACAGCAGCAGCCACGAGGTGGCCACGCTCGCCCCCTCCTGCACCTCAAAAATAATAAGCTCTCCCCGAAAATAAGGCCAAGCGCTTATTTCGGGGGTCAAAAGAAAATAAAACCCTGTCTTAATTTTGGGGAAACACGAAGTATTTTTTAAAAAACCAGCCAGCTCAAACCCAACCACTGTGCCTTTTTCCTCCTTCACCCAGAAAGCTGAGTTTGGCTAATCCTCTTAGTTACGCCGTCTTCGGCGGGACTTGCTTTCCACACACTCCCTCCCAAGGGCGAGATTAGCGGCTGGCGTGGCGCAGCGAGAAAAAGACACGTCTTAGGATTTATGCTTCCTTGGCACACGGCGGTGGTTGGCCACGGCTGTGGCTGATGGGTGCTCTGCTTCGTCCCTTCCTTCTCTGCTCCTGCCTTGGGGAGAGACTAAGGGGCTAACGCGAGGACTTTGTCTTCTGGCTAACTTTGGCTCTTCGTAGGGTTGACGCCTAAGGATGCCCCAAGCCACGGTGAAGCTGATCGTAACCGGGGATGATTTCGGCTATTGCCCGCGGAGGAATCATGGCATCGTGGAGTGCTTCCTGGCCGGGGCCATCTCCAACGTTTCGCTTCTGGTTAACGGGAGCGCTGTGTCCGATGCCGTCCAGCTGGCCAAGAAGTGAGTCTCTCCTTGTAGTTTTCTTTTGATTTCACGGGCGTCAACCCATCGGGGTTTTAAACCTTAAAAATGGGGGGCTTACGCCGCTTCGTTCAGTGTCTGTTCAAAATGATGACAGCACTGAAAAAAGTGACTTAGGATTTGTTTTTTTCACACAGATGATTCATTTAGTGGTTTTTCTGGAGCAGCAGCTTTGAACACTGCTGTCCTTTTTACCTTCTATTTTTATCCTTCAAAAAAAAAACCACTCTACTTTTAAATCAGTTTTTAACTTTTAACTTTGTTCTCCTTTTTACACTCTTATTCTTTTTTTAAAAAAACACTCTTTCTACTTTTAAATCTATTGCTATTGCTGTTCCCCTTCCTTCCTTCCTTCCTTCCTTCCTTCCTTCCTTCCTTCCTTCCTTCCTTCCTTCCTTCCTTCCTT